AGAGCTATCTACCATTATTAGCTGCAGTCATTGAGAACCCAGAAGAGATCACCAGCCCCAGAGAACAGTCTGCCCCCAATACAGGTCTCCTAATTCCCACAGCACAGGGAAGAATTTCCCCTGCAGGTATTCCTACAAGATGGATCAGAAAACAGGACTCCGGAACCCTACAGTTAAACACTTAAGTGAAGTCAAAAGTCGGAGTTCAGTTAGTGCTTTGACTCCCCAAAGAGGGCACCATCTAGTTAAGAACAGCCTGGCCCTGTGCCATCCTACTCCCTGCTTCAAGGAATCAAAGTACAGCATTTGTTGGTCCAGCAGCAGATTGACAATAACACAGCTCAAGTGTCACTGAGGACTGTAAGCAAAGTGGAAGGAGGAATTTTTTACTTATACTTTTGATTTTGCAGAAAAGCACTTTTAGTGGAATAATGGAAAAAATATTCTCTAAGGTAGTTACTTCTCATTAGAAAAATCCCTGGAAAGAGACATCTGGTTCTCAAAAGCCCAGATACATACCTTGTAAAAAGCAAAAGCACTATACAATTGAATATATAACTGCATCACAACTCTATAACAGATGACAGATCACTGACAATGAAGTGATGCATATGCGCGTATATGTATTTGATACAAACACATAGGAAATCCATCAATGAATACTACAGCTAGAAAGAAAAAGTTAAATACATTCTGAATAACTTTTTCAATTAAAGAGTTACCTCGGAGAGACCAATTAGTTAGAATAACAATAACCAAGTTTGTGGAGAAAGTGCACACCCCCACCCCCCATGACAAAGTTTTATTTTCCCCTATCATCTTCACTTTGGCTGCCAAACACACAGTTGACTCAAAGCATAAACTCACTAGCATTTAAAGGAGAAGAGAGAAATGCTGTCAATGAAACCACACAAGCAAGCAAGAAATATGGAACCTCATTTACCTGGCTGTATCACCTCCAACTTCTACCATAAGGCACAACTTCTGTACTTTTACAATATTGCAGTTGTAAGTGTTCACGGCTTAACCATATGAAGAAGTTGCTTAAATTTTTCACCTACTGGCATATTCTAGGAAATCTCTTCTTAGACTTGAGACCAATTTTTACATCACCCCAGCTTTTTCTCCCAAGAAACACTCAAATACGCTTTGCAGTCCTTATCACACACTAGCAACAGTTTGGTCAAGCTACATTTCCTCCAGCAGACAGGCCTTCATCTGTCACAGAGACAATAAAATCACACATTATCTCCAGCAGATGTAAAAAGTCATCCTCATTTGCAGTTACATACACAAATACATATAAACCAGTAATACTTCTGCTTTTACTTTTATTTCAAATAGTATTGTACATACAGTTACTGTGTTTGGAAAGAAGCAGACCAGACAAAGTGATTTTGGAAAATAAAATCCTTTGCTGACACTAAGTAAATATTTTCTTAAAATAATTCATAGTTAGTCTGAATCTGTGATTTTCTGGTTTTAATACTAATTCAAGGAGACTTTAAGAATCAACTAAAGCAAGAGAACCTGTTAATTACAGTGCCTGTACTAAATACAAGCAACAGTGTCTTGAGACAATGATCCATAATTGCAGATATTGTAAAAACTTTACAGACTGGCAAAGTTCAACAAATTAAGATTCAAGTAATTCTCCACTCTGGGCTGGGTTACACCAGTTACAGGTGGGATCGCAAACCAACTTCATTAAATTTGTTAGACTCTGGATCATGAGCCTGCTGAAACAAGGCTGTGACTCACAAGTGAGGTCAAAGCTCAAAATAGTTTGAGATTTGTTGCCCAACACAACACACAGAGACACTTACAGGATCAACCTGAAGATACTCTAGTCCTAAACTACTAACATTTCACCACTCTGTGCCTTCTTCAGCAAGATGTAACAAATTTAAAACCATCAGCTTGGGAAAAGGGCGGTTTCTTATCTTGGAAGACCTTGTCAAACCAGAATTATTATTAAGTTAGATTAGCATAGTGAAAGAGGAAGACAAAAAAAAAGTTTAATCGAGGAGTATTTCTACTTGAGCTGAATTGCCAGTCAGTAAAGACTGGCGAGTTACTTATCTAAGAACAAAGTTTGAAAAAAATAAATAAAACACACTAGATGCTGTTGTGAAATGAAAGCATCCTGAGAATTTAAGATCGTTATAGGTAGAATTCCAACTAAAAACACATTTGCAAAGAGATAAGAAGTTTCCATTGATAAGTCATGGGAGCCAAGTCTGTACTTGTTTTTTAAAAAAAAAAAAAATATTCTAGCTCTCCTGTTTTCCAGAAGACATTTTATCTAAGCAAAGTTTATATACGCTTTGAGTCACTTCTACTTGAAAAAAAAGGAATTTTAGAGTAATCTCCTATTTACCCAAAGAAAGGAAAAAGTATCACACCAGCAGACAAATTTAGAGCACGTGAAACAGTGCCCAATTCAATTTAAAAGTCTTTTAAACTTCTTTCTTCAATTACTCAAGGTCATAAATAACTACACTATTTGTACCACCCTACCTTTCACTTAAAAGTCCACATTTCTATTCACAGGATTCTATGAGTTAGAAAAGCCCATTCATATTAGCTGCCAATTTTCAGAAAAGCACAGTCTCTTATGAAACTGCTATTTTATATAGTTAGCTGCTTACATAAAAGTTCGGGGACTTTCAGGTTGGTTGAAGGAAAACACAGCCCTTAGTCATATGCTAATTTTCCAACAAAGTTACAGCAAGGAGCTTCAGCTAAAAATAGAACATGCCTTTGTGTGTTCCTGGTGCCCTGCCAAACTTCAGGAGGGCTTTAGTTTCTACATAGGATAACCATCAGTGGATAGAAATTTACTGGTTTTGCAGTCTGCATAGTTAGAAGGTAACTTCAAGATGCATTTTAAACAGTTAACTTCAAAGTATGCAAGATTACAGAACATAACTCAAAGAAAAACACTAACCCCTTTATCCTTAAATTTATCTATATTCAAGAGAAATAAAATGGTTTTTCCACATACTACTTCGCCAACATATTGTCTCTTCATACCAAAAGATCCATTTTCATAGAATTTTTAACTTGATCATTCATAGATATGCCTTCAATCAGTAAATCGGGTCTCTCACCATACAAAAGAATTCAATAGAACCTTGCATCAGCGAAACTGTCAGGATTATATGGCTAAATACATCCACCAATACCCTTCTGTAGCAGATACCCTTCCGTCAGGCCATTTTTAAGTATAACCAAGCTGGAATCAATTTGAAGATTCCAGATATAAGAAAGAAAATGATATTGCCAGCAGATACTACTTGAGGGAGGGATTCCTATGCTGTGTGCACATGTATGCACTAACCGACAGATGAAGCTACCGCTATGAGAGCTAGTATCTCTCTCTTCATGTGCTCCTATTATCTATCACTTCCTATCATGTGTATCACATCTGACAGACCACAGTGATGGGTGTATTACTAAAATGCGAGATAAGCAACATAGTGGGAAGAAAACCTGGAAGGCTATTATATACAGAACAAAATCCAACTCAACAATATCAGATTTACATGGTGGGGGTGTACAGCACGAATGAGAGAAGACAAGAACTTTACATAAAGCATAGGTCAGGAGTTGCAAAAATATCAGTAAGCTTCCGGAGGTGGGCTTAGCTTAGACTCCAGTTTGCCCTAAGGCAAACATGAGCTGCTCCCTATTTCTGTAAGCACACATGCCCTGTTTCCCCTACTAAAATTACCGACAGTAAGAAGCAACACAGGATGCCTGTGTGTCAGACAACATTAATCCTTCATGCTTCGTCTATTATATAAGACAATACTATGTTCATATGGAAGTACGCAAAGCCATGAGGTACTGCATTTTGAGTCTGTGAGATAAAAGCAGGAGCCGAGAAACCTTATGTATGTGGAGGTCTTTATCATACAAAATGCAGATAAGCTGTATCATACCTCCCTTCCAATGGACTGTCATGAAAGAAAACATTTAGTATGTTAAAGAAGTCCAAAAAGTCAGACCAAACACATGAGCTAGACAAACAGATTAAGCATACGTTCCAAAATTCAAAAAGAGCATGTTATACAAGATGAGCTATGTGCCAAAGTTGTACGTGTAGATCTAAATCAGTAAAAATGGTGTTAAAACTGTAGACGCTTAGACTCAAGGATGACTTTATTACTGGGTTATTCCAAAACAACCAAACATTCAAGAAAAACACACACAGACTTTTTCAACAGGGAAGAATTTTTTTTTTTACTTCTGATCCAAATTTCCCCAATTAAGTTCTGAACACTGCATCCCTTATGACTTTCCATTAAGTCCAAATGAAGACTTTACTTGAAAGTTTTCCTCAAAATGCTCTACAATCCTTAAAGATTATTATTCAATGCTAACTGATAAACACCCCAGAAAAACATTCTGTAGCTATTTTCTTTACATGTGTATGTTACAGAGTCTTCACTGTTACCCTGCCGATGTGAGGTCTCATTACAAAAGCCCAAGATGCCTATGTATCAACCAAGCCTTCCCTTTGAAGGAAGGATATCACCTTTACAACCACCATGGGATGTGCACTGCAAGAGCACTGAAGTTTTTATGAAAATAAAATGAAGTCTGAAGGGAAATTTTACTGTGATTTTAAATTTACAAAGTAACAGCTTAAGAAAGCCTTGAACATTTTCTGTAATGCAGCCATTTGCCATTATCTTACCACTGTTGAAATAATCATTCCATGAATATAAGTCCCTAGATCTCTATTCCTTTTGAAATTAGTAGTAACTTGATTATTCAACACAAATCATTAGCTGCTGTAAAATTTCCATGAAATTACAAGCTGATATTCAGTTATAGCACACACTAGAGCATATAACCTGCTTTTCTTTCATCACAGCAGTTTTATTATTCACATTCTAATACAACGTTTTACATCTAACTGAGCACACAAACCTCTAGTATCCAACACCGAGAATTATGAAAAAAACAACAGATTGACACAACATTCTTACTTTTAGCAGTTCAAAATAATGAAGACAGTGGTAAACAGGGGCAAGGAGCAGACGTGGCAGAACATACTGAACAGCTTCTTTAAAGCCTTCACCTATTGACTAGAAACAAAATAAGTTTAAGTCTTAAAACAACAAATGTATTGACGCAGTAACACAATGTCATTAAAGTAATAATAATAATAATATGGCTTACTTAAAAGAAAGTTACCTGCAAATAAAATGCTGCTCCTGGCTTTGATAATTGACTTAGAAAATGATCATGAAAACCAGGTCGCAAAATATCTTGTGCATATGATTCATATGGATCAAATGCTAGTTCCTAAGAAGAAATACAGAATAATTTTACAAAACTGATTTGATATCTAAAATTTGTTATTTCTTGAAGAATAGACATACACTACATAGGAGAGACTTTTCTGCATACTTTTTCCAAAACACCTATAGAGAAGAATCAATACTTTTACGTGCACAGACTCATAGACTAATTCAGTCTGGAAGAGATCTCTGGAAGTCAACTGGTCCAATTCTCTGTTCAAAGCAGAGCCCACCTGAGGACCAAAGCCAGATCCAGCATCAAAGCTAGCTGAGGTTGCCCAGCTGAGGTCTCATCCAGTTGAGTTCCGAGTACCTCCAAGAAGAGAGGCACCAAAACCGCTCTGGGCAGCCTATTCCAATGTTCGATTGTTCTCGTCACAGATTTCCCACCCCCCACCCCCCCAGTATCTAATCAGGGTTACTCTTTTCACCATCCACATGCTTCCTCTCATCTCACCTCACAGTTGTCTACTATAAACCCGCAGTAACAGTTTGCCTCAGACTTTTCTACACCTTCCCCTCAGGTAACTGAAGACAGCAATAGGATCTCCGTCCTCAGACTTCTCTTCTTAAGATTGAATAAACCCAGCACCCCTAACCCTCTTTGTACATCACGGGCCTCAACTCCTTAATCATCATGGCAACCCTCATGTATAAACATATCTTGTACTCAAAGACCAAAACCAGACACAATATGCCAGATGTGGTCTCCAGTGCTACACAGAAGTGATCCCTCAACCTGCCAGCTACACTTTTCCTCATATAACCCAGTAGGTAGTTAGCCTTCACTGACAATTCCTGAGGATTCCCAAGCCCTGTCGAGCAGTACTTCTCCTCAACCAGGCAAGCTGGACCATTGTATGGGGTTGTGTGATTCCATGTGCAGAACTTCATGTTTGCATTAACTCTGTGAGGTTCCTGTAGGTCCATTTCTGCAGCCTGACAAGTCTCCCAAGAAGTAGCCCTGTCCTCTTGTGTGTTCCCCCACAATTTGCCATCACTTACCAACTCGATGAGGCAGACTTTCTCCCACAACACCAATACAGACATTAAACAGTATCAGCCCCAGTATCAAGCCCTGAGGAATGCCACTAACTACTGGCCACCAGATGGACTTTGTATTGCTGATGACAGTTCTTCAAGCCTGCCAGTCCAGCCAATTTCCCACCCCCTCTATATTTCAACTAGCTTGCTTACATCTCACCAAGCTGACTATAAGGATACTATGAGAGATTGTGCTGAAAACCCTGAAGGGATATTAACTGCTCTTCCCTTTGTCCATGGAGCCAGCCATCTCCTCTTAGAAAGCAGTCTAGTTGGTCAGGTACAGTTTGTCCTTTGGAAATCTCTGCTGGCTGTTACAAACCACCTTCAGTCCTTCACGCGGCCGGATGTGAATTCCAGAAAGATTTGCCAGTCTTCTCAGGCACTGATGAGAGGCTTACCAGCTTCTAGTTTCCAGGATTCTCCTCATCAGTCTTTTTGCAATTGGGTATAACACTTTACCTCCAGTCACTGGAGACCTCTACCACTCACCACTAAATTTCAAGAATTCTAGACAGGGGCCTTGCAACGACATTAGCCAGCTGCCTCAGCATCCTGTCCTGCCCCACAGACTTGCATATATCTACCTTAGATCAATAGTCCCTAACTTGATCTCTGACTTTCACCTCTCTTCCTCAATCTTTGGTAGCAGCCCTAACTGGGAAACTTAGAAGCACATTTTGCCAGTAAAGACCAAGCAAAGGAGGCTTGAGTACCTCATCAGTCCATTCAATGTCCTCCAGCACAGGGTGTCTTACCCCATCAGCAAGGTAACTCGCATTTTCTATCATCTTCTTTTTCATGCTATTTTACTTATACAAGCCCTTCTTGCTTTGCCTCACATTCCTCACCAAGTTTAACCCCAGCTGAGCTGCAGCCCTCTTAATACCATTTCCACCTGCCTAGACAATGCTTCTACATTCCTTCTGGGAAGCCTGTGTTTCTTTTTGAATCATAGAATCATTTAGGTTGAAAAAGACCCTTAAGACCATCGAGTCAACTGTTAACCTAACACTACTAAGTCCACCACTAAACTATGTCCCTAAGCGCCACATCTACACATCTTCTAAATATCTCCAGGGATGGTGACTCTACCACTTTCCTGGGCAGCCTGTTCCAGCGCTTGATAACCCTTTTGGTGAAGAAATTTTCCTTAATATCCAATCTAAACCTCCCCTGTTGCAACTTGAGCCTGTTTCCTCTCATTCTATCGCTTGCTACTTGGGAGAAGAGACCAACCCCCACCTCGCTACAACCTCCTTTCAGGCAGTTGTAGAGAGTGAAAAGGTCTTCCCTGAGCCTCCTTTTCTCCAGTCTAAACAATCCCAGCTCCCTTGGCCGCTCCTCACAGACTTGTTCTCTAGACCCTTCACCATCTTTGCTGCTCTTCTTTGGACATGCTCCAGCACCTTAATGTTTTTCTTGTAGTGACAGGCCCAAGTTTGGTTAAACAGGAAACTCCAAACTGCGCTTGTCCTTGCCTCCTGCTACATCTACTCTTTTTCTTAGGGACTAGGAATGCATACTCCTTGTGCTTTGAACACACCTCTTTTGAAAATAAACCAGCTCTCCTGAGCCCTTTCTACCCTCACGGCAGCCACCAATGTGATCTTGCCTCCCAATTCCCTGAACAAGCTAACTATACTCTCCCAAAGCCCAGGGTCTTCAGTCTGCTTATCTCTTGCATTTTCCTCAGGACCTTAAACTCTACCAGCTCTAGCACCTGCAGCCAAGTCTGCCATTAGCTACTATGTTCCTGCCAGTTCTTCCTCATTCATAAGAAAGAGGTCATCTGCAGCACTGTTCTTAGCTGGCCCATCAGTATGTGCCACAATAAAAAACCTGTCCCCTGTGCCCTCCAGAAATTGTCTGGGTTACTTGAATCACAGTAAGTTGTCCACCCAGCAGATGTCAGGAAGGTTATTCTCCCAGAAGAACCAAGGTCTGTGATAAGGAGATGACTCCTACTTGTTTAGAGGTAGTTTTAGCCACTTGTCAATTGGGCAGTCTTTGCAGGAGAAGCTTGACTACAACATGCCCTTTGGTGGCCTCCTCCTCCAATCCTGAAGCATTCAACTAGCTCATCATTCCTTCTGTAACAGAGCTCCATGTATTTGAGCTGATCTTTTGTTAAGCCTCCTGGCCTCATCTTTCCCACCTGTCCTTGAGTGCCTGTATTCATTCATACAGCCTTTCATCATGCAACTCTTCCTGCCATGTTGCTAATTCCAGTCACATTACAGCTCTGCAACTATGCACAGACTCCCAGATCCTCTTATCTGTACATGAGCTTATGTACCCTGGGGAAACAGACACTTCAAATGAGCCTTTGGTCATCCCACCTTCTTAGGAGGAAGGTGCAAGAGCCTTTGTTGTCATGCTTTCCACTGTACATATCCCTTCTTCCTCTCAATTCTTCAATCTGCAAACTTTGCTCTCCGTCCACTAACTAGCCTAGTTCAAAAGCCGTCCTCACGAGCTTAGCAAGCCTGTTGGCAAAGAAGCCCTTGTTCCACTTTGTCTTTCCACAGCAATCCTGATCTACAGCCAGTTTACAGAATTCCTCAATTTCTGCTGAAGTCTAGTCACAGAGTTTGGGGTTTTGTTTCCCTGTCATGCTCTCTAGTGTTTAGACAGCCCTATAAAAACTGAGGTTTAGGGACTAAAAAGGTAGAAGTACTCTTAAAACAGGCAGTCTATTCTTCATGGTGGGGCTGGAAAAAGAAATCTCAACCTAAACAAAGGCAGCTAGAACAGAGATGCACTTGTCATCTAAGTGCAAGTCATTAAAATACTGAACAGCAAAAAAAAAAACCCCAAATATTTTCTTACCTCCGCCATGTCTTCAAAACAGCTGCCTACTAGCGGATGAGGACTACCTTCATCTGTCATTTCAACAGTGTCTTCTATATGACCCAACAACTTCACACTAAGTTCATGAATGTCTGATATACGACTAAATATATTTTCCACATCCTGCAAAAAGCAACAGAACCAGAGAAAAATGAACAGGGAATTGGACACAACTTTCAAGAGGAAGAATGTTATGTGCAAAGCTACCCTGTTATGACATGAAAGTCAAGCAGTTCCTTAAATAGAACAAAATTATACTTTTTATTATATACTTTCTGTATAATTTATGTAAGATCATAGAATTTATTTTTAA